ACCTTAATTTGTATGATTAAGGTGCCGTCTATTTGGAATATTATGGATCCCTCGGCCCCCCAGCAGGCCCCATAAGCTTCCATTCCATGTTTTTGATCAGAAGAAATACACACCGAGTAGTGCTATTATTGTGGTTCTTTCCACATTATACTTTGCTTGAAAATTGTATTCGGATGCGTCACTCTGGAGCTACCTTACGTGCATTTACAGTAATGCAAATAGAGTACTCTACTCATTTAGTTTTAGTAGATTTAACTTAATTTTTTAATTTTTTATATATAGAATTTAAATAAAAACCTAATAATTGATATGAATAACAATTAAATTTTTTTTTTCTTTTTAACATAAAATTGTTGTTGAGTAGTTTAATATAATTAAAAAATTTTCAATTATTATTTATATAATATGTTGAATTTTTATTTAAAATTTTTGTCTAAATAATAAAAAAGTCAAACTAAAACTATTAAAAATAAATGGAAAGACTAATACTTTTTGAGATTAAATAACAAAATTTTAAGCAAAATTATTTTAATTTTTGATTATGTAAACTTATATAGGCCTACATCATTTCAGTTGTTACTATAAATTTTCATAAAATTTGGTCTTAAATATTCAAATATACAGCCCATAAGAAAAATATTGCTGAAAAATATTGCTAAATAATGTGTGCGGAATTAATTATCACACATTTTCTAGATTGGTGTGAAAACACGTATTCATATATAGATTGGTTTAAAATTTTTAAAATAAATCATAAATTAAGTAGAAAATTAACCTTATTGTTTATTATATAATTGTGATATTTACCATTTAAACCTTGGAACCTTTGGATTAAGAGTTCAACTTTCAGTAAATAATTTAAAATAATCCTTCTTTCGTTTCATTTATCTAAATAATTGCTATTGTTGTGTGTAATCACACAAGTAAAAAATTACAATTGATCATAAAATAATTTTTGATTGATTACTTATTTATAGAGGATGAACAATAAAAGATTATAATAAGTACACCTATATAGTTAATTACTTAATTTATCCAGCAGATATCAACTCGAGAACTTTAGGGAAAAATAAAAATTAAACGAAATGGCAAAAACTTTAATAAACCAAAAGCCCTAAAACGGGAACCAAAAATGGAAAATGAGGTTTAAAAATAAGGAAGCTGAATTGGAAGAGATCAGAAATGAGAGGCCCTGTCAACTCCAGCCTCCCCCCACCACTTGAAAATGCTTGCAGCGGACGCAACAGATATCCCACCACCATAATTGGCTAAGTTTTCATTTTCCCTTTCTCATATTGGCTATTGATCTGTTGACATCTGAGGAAGAGAAAACAGCAAGTCAGCGCGTCAGTGCAGATTAAAGACGTTTGGTAAATTTGGTACCTAGGATTACGATCTATAACTATTGTGGGTACACTATCTCTTTCTCTCATTCATTACTCACACATCACCATTATTTCACATATGACATACCCCTTTCTCAATCTCTGATCCCTATAAATATTTATACCTTTCTTTCTTCACTCCTCAGTGCTCAATTTCTCCTCTTCTCTTTGGCTCTTTAATTTGAGGTTCTTCAATTTTTCTTTGCATTTGTACATAGAGAATTAGAATAGAAATATATTTTTTTTTAATTTCTCTCAAGTGGGGTTTTCTTATTCCATTACCTAAATGTGGGGTTCAAGCTTTTTAGGCTTTTTAAGTGGTCTTAACTTTTGGTTATGGGATATGAGATTAGGGTTAGGGTTAGGGTTTTTTCTATCTTTTTCCTCTTTTTTGCATGATGAGGTGACTATATATGATGTGATGATAAAGAAGAAGAAAGAAGATCTAATGATCCGATCCTACAGTCACTGTTTGCCGATGCAGCACCATCAAGATTCACAAGCCTTTTAGAGCTGCTGATGAGTGGTGGTGATTCAAGTTTCCACCTTTTTGTGGTCCCTAATTTTTCCTTCATCATCACTGCAATAGCTCTAATTTGAACATGGGAATCTTGATGATGCTGCAGCGGCAATAAATGGCTAAAATTACTTACACCCTTTTCGAAACTCTGCAAATACAGGGAAGTAATCTATTCCACCGTCCAAGCTTCGTCCGAGGAAGGTGAACTCATTAAAATAATTTCAACAAATGCCGATTTCTTCCCCCCACCCCCTCCCTTTTTTTTTTTGTTAGTAAATTGTTAACTAAATGCCGACTTTTATTTGAATAATCTCAAATTTATCGATTCTGAAGCTGTAGTTTACCATTTTTTGTACTAATTATCGTGTTTAACTGTTGGTGTGATTAGGGGTTTAATGTTTGGATGACTAAGAAATAGTAATGATCCATGTGGCAACACAGTGTGATCTGCAGTGGGAGATTTTATTCTGTGTGGTGATGGATTTTAGTGCAGACTTTCCTCAGATGCTTCAGTAGGTATGTCTGTACTTTGATTGAAATGTAGCCAACAGAAATCATGAGCTTGGATAATTTGGGGGGGGTGGGGGTTTAAGCATTTTAATTTCTTCCTCTTTTTCTTCTTGTTCTTCCACTAGATCTCACCAATCTTCACCGTGATTATGTGCTAGTTTTTTCAGATCTGTAATAAACAGGCTTTTTCTCTGGAAAACGATTCTTAAATATAATCATTTTGTTATTTAGTACACCAAATTATAATGTCGTTTCCATTGTCTTCTCAAATCTGCCAAATCTCTTCGAAAATTTTCACCAAGCATTCATCTCTGTTTTGAGTTTATTTCCTAGATCAGAAGTTTGGGAAATGTTTTAGGGTTTTTTTTTTTTTTGGGGGGGGGGGGGGGGGGGGGGGGGGAGGGCGGTTCTACTTATGAAGGCAATATATATAATTTGCAGTTTTTGTGTAAAATCTGAGAAGATGGGATAAAAGAATATTGTTTTTTGTCATAGGATTTTTGGCATGTTTGGCGAGTGGGAAAGCTGTCTGTCATTGTAGCCGGAATTAGCTGCTAGTACTCATTATGGTCGCTGTTAAAAAAACAAGTACTCATTATGGTCAGTCCAATGGATTGATTTGCTTGCTTTTGTATCTTTTTCTACCAGCAAAATAAATTCATTCACAGTGAATGCAAAGGTTTCAACCTCTTACATTCTCAAACTTGGCAACCGAGAGAAGAAAAAAATAGCAAACAACCGCGGCAGAAAACACCTGATACAGGCATACAGCACATTGAGTCATAGGTCAACCCAAAACAGAGCAGGCTAAGTATCTATTTGCTTTGTGTATGTTTGATCTGTTTTTATGTACATATATGCTAAGTCAATCGGCTGCCTGACCAAAGTAACTTCACATTTCCTAGAGAAGATTTGAGTTTTGGATGGAGCTCAGCTTTTTCATGCTTGATTTGCTTTTCTATTTTATTTTATATTCTTTAAATCTTCATTCTTTTGCAATTTCTTATATGTGCATTTTTTTGTTTCTTTTATATGTGTGTTTAACTTGCAGATTAATCATTTTAATTCTAAGGCATCTTAATTGGTGATGAGTAACTGGAAAATTAAAGAGTTTCAGTCTTTTTTATTTTATTTTATTTATATTCTTTTAATCTTCATTCTTTTGCAATTTTCTTAGATGTGCTTTTTTTTATTCTTTTATATATATATGTTTAACTTGCAGATTAATCACTTTATTTCTATGTACATTCATTCATTCATTCAAGATCTTGAATTGATCAAAGGCATCTTATATTGAGAAGTTAAATATTAGCACAGTTTATGATGAAGATGAGCTCAACTTTCTCATGCTTTAATTATGTACTTATTTTATTTTATTTTATATATACTTTAAATCTCCATTCTTTTGCAATTTTCTTACATGTGGCTTTTTTTTTTCTTTCTTGTATTTATAACTTGCAGATTAATCACTTTATTTCTAAGGCATCTTAATTTGTGATGAGTAATTGGAAAATTAAAGAGTTTCAATCAGATAATTGAGATGATCTAAAAGCCCCCTTTAATTCATTCAGAAAGGACTATATTTTTAGTGTTTCTTCTGTGTCCATCTGAAAATTTCTAAGCATGCAGTCATCAACATTTAATTCAACAGTCAATACCTTGTGTGTTTATGTATAGTTTTGAATCCAATGAAATTTCAGATAGATGCTCTCTATATGCTTATATATAACTCTAACTATATATATATATAAATGGAAATTTATTGAAATTTATTTTTCTTCAAAAGGAAAAAAAGTGTCTGCAGAAGAAGTCTTACCTCTGAAATATTTTGGAGAAGACATAAAAGACCAAATTTTAATGGCATCTGAAACTTAGAAGGAGTTTGTAAACAAAAATGGTTGAGACTCTTGAGAGTTCGAAAATGCAAATATATGGCTTATAAATCTTCTTCTTTTTTTTTCATTTTTAATTTTTCCCTTTGAAGGAAAACGACGAGTAACTATAATATATTTTGATGGGCTACCTAGTGTGAAAATGACAAATCTAAAAAATTATTAAACTGTTTCTTTATTCCAGAAAACAAAAAGGCCAGAAGAAAAAATTGGATTCCATGGATGGGAAATGGACTTGATAGACGATTATTTATGCAGTTTGTTCAAGCAGGTCCTTCAAGCATCTGAAATTGTTGCAGCATGCATGCATGGAGGCTACGAATCTTTCATACTCACCCTTTTGACTATAATTTTGTATGAATTTTTTCTCATATTAAAAACTTCAATATGTCAGTATAGTTTGGTATAGTGGTTAGTTGGTACCTTATCCAACTTAATTTCTTTGCACCATACCAAATATTATCTCTATAATCCGATCGAATGCAGACCATCCACACTAGTTTATGTGTTTGTGTGTACATGTATATATATTCATCAAAATATATGATCATCACTAAAAGAACATTTCCCTCAAAATTTTATTTTTTTAATAAAAAAAAGTTCCACATATGTTAACAGAATTTAGAACAAATTTTAAGGGCAAGACTTTCTTGCTTTGGAAGCTCACAATTGAAAAAATGTAGACTTTGAAGAAACTCCCACTTCAATGTTGGGCTGGGCCCCTCAAAAAAGTTAGAAGAAGAGGAAACTTCTCTGATCCAACTTCCAAGGTTGCTGAAAGGTCCAATAGGATCAGGAGCCGGTTCCATTACACATATATAAGCCCAACTTAAAGATGAGGCGAGCTGAGGGAGGGAAATCAAGATTTATTTATTTATTTATTTTATTTTATTTTATCAGCAGGGAAGTCAGGAAGTTGAAACTTTGTAAATACAAAATATTTCTACAAAAATTCAAATTTATATTAAACTTTAAAATAAAAATGAAATGTTTTCACATAATCCAATTTATTTTCGTTTCAGAAAATGGTCTGAAAGATTAAGGAAGCAGCAAATCTCCTCTCTTATACTCCACCAATCATGAGATAAAAATGATCCATGAACAAATTCACCAAATAAAAAAAAAAAAAAGGGGGCAAAAGTGTATATCTTACATTCAATCATTGATTTTAAAATGATCCATTGTTCCCCAAAATTCATTGTTCATTCATTTGCATTTAGACATCACCCATATAAATTATCCCTTGAACAAAGATATGGGGACTGATGCCTAATGTCCCCTTAATTATTAAAACCAGTAGAGTAAAATAGCAACTTCAACCATGATTCCTTGAAGTTGCTGTTCAGAGACACAAGAGAAGAAGAAGATAGCTGCTTACCTTTACATTTCCTCTGTTGTGATTTCGCCTTTTCGGAAGATTACAACGGAAGTTGAAAGTAGTTATTCATCTGGGAATTCTTAATTGAAGAAGCACATGGGAATGATGTGGACAGAAGCATAAACCACTGCCTAATTAAATTTGAGTGATCCCAGAATCCAAACATTAAACATGTAAGTAATGGAATGAAATAGACTTTGAGCGCCACAAATTGTTTAATCAATAATTAAATTTCAATAAGCTTGATTAAGACAGCGGAAATCAACTAGCCCATGATCCTAGATGCTTTTCTTGGTTTCTTAATTCAGCTACTTGAACGGCTGCATGTGACAGAAAGCGGGAAGGTCTAAAACAATCTTCTGCATTTTGCAACTTGACAAATCAAGTAAATAACAGAGGGCCCAAGAAAGAAGATATGCATGTGATAGTAATTAGTTTAGATACCACTTAACTTAATGCAGGAAGACAGGATGAACATTTCAACCCTTAAGTGTATACCAACATTTGAATATGGCATGCTTTATGGGGCTTGCTCCTTGTCCAGCAGCGTTATTTGTTTTAAAATCTACACTCCAAAAAGAAGAATTTAGGAGCTTTCCTTTGAATCTATAGCTAAGAACTAAGTGATGATTGATGATGCAAAAAGGATGCAACTTTTGGCTAATGGAAGGCAGTGAGGGCATTGGTTTCGGCACAAAGGGAGATCATTGCCACAGAAAAGAGAGAACAACTGAATAAATTGTTCTGAATTATTTTCTCTCCAAGACTGTTTGCCTGCTTGCATCCAACCAAAATCTATGAATTCATGTGAACAAGATGTGTACTGGAGATAGCACCTAATCAATGCAATGGTACATTCAATTGGGACAATATGAAATATTACAGATACATTGCAATACTTAGAAAACCTTAAAAGTTAAAAGCCAGTTAGTTTCTGTCCCAATCAACCCCATCGGTTTCTTTCTTTTATGTCCTGAAACAGAGACGCTCTGCATTTTTTGTGTAATTCTCTAAATGAAAGAAGATATGTAAGCCATCTTAAGTGTCCAGGACATTTTTTCTTTTTTGGTATGTTGGATGATAGGGTATAGCCGCTATATAATAGGAGGTAGTCCTTCTCTTTATAAAGCCCTCCCGGTATTCAAATTTGAGATCTTTAACATGGAGATTTAAGTTCTTAGACACTAAATCATGAGTTAGACACTAAATCATGAGTTATCCCCTAAAGGATTAAGTGCTCGTTTGGTGTGACTGAAACTTTTAATAAAAGTTTGGTTGGAAAGAAACTATTATAGAAGTGTTGTTTTTATCAATAGAAAAAAAATAAAATAAGAATACTGTGTTAATTTCATTAAAACCCAAATGAAAAACTCCTGCAGAAGCATCAAATTGGTGTTTATGAGATTTGCAATAAAATGGACAAAAAACTAACTTGTGCAAAGTTGTAACATTTTTTACAAATTGTAGTGTTTGATGTAGCTAAAATTTTTGGAATACAAAAGGAGTTCCCATAAGCTATACATCCAAGGCAATAAATTGTGGAAAAGGTGGAAACATTGGAGACATTGGTAAACGAGGAGGTAGTTAGATTCCATTTGACTAAGAAAACTGCTTAGTCAGTTTTAAACTGATTTAAACAATGATTTTCTGACTGATGTCTCTCGTAATCCGTAATCCTTTTTCATTCTTACTAATGGTGAGGATTTGACCTTATTCATTACTTTAATTTTGTTGTTTTAATTAACCATGTCTTTTGTTTAGTAGCTGCAGCCTGACAGTTTATACCAGGATTTCTTGTAATGTGAACGAACATTGATATATTTGATGCGGCCATAACGCCACCGGTTTGAAGACTTTAATCACATGAAGGCATGTGAAATTGAATACTATTACTTCATTTTTTTCTGAACTAATTATATATAAAACAACGACTGATCTCAGATACCGCCATCATCTTCTTGGTGCCTAATTTGGTTGTTTCTGTGTTGTTCATGTGATGGATGGCTAACTCAGCCAAGGCATTTTTGCGTTGTTAACATATGGATTGAGAAGAATATATTGACTAGTCAAGTTACATAAAAAATCAGAAACAAAACAAAGATATCAACAGGAAAGGAAAAGCATGAGGTATATTTAAAAGGTAAGTGCACCCTATCCCTTGAACATGGGCTTGCTTTAAGGCATCTGCTACTCCATTGGGAAACTTTGTTATATACTTATACAAAGTGTCCCAAAATTAAAGTGTGAAATTCCATAACCGAAGCTAATGATTGGACCTAATATTGTTCAATGTTTTGTTTATTTTCTTCTAGTGTGTTCATCCGAAGTAGGTAGGCCAAGATGCCAAGATTGATTTAGACCCGACAATGTGCGAAAATTGCCTTATAAAACCTGAAGGGATATGCAATACAAGCATGAAAGTGCCAATTAAGTGCATATGAATCTGTCAGGAAAGCAGGAAATGGCTTTGTCCATGGAAAGTTGTTTGATATCTGCAAGTTGCAGAAAGCAACAAAATACAAAAGGATAAGAAGCAACAGAAAAGGGACTGGCTCATGGGGAAATATTCATCCATGTTCATTTAACAAAATTTGTATTGATTCATACAGCGCAAGGAGTCCAACAAAATTTCCAAGTTTCAGTAGAATATTCACAGTTGAAGGCAATGCACACATATAATTTGATGATGTTTGTTCTTAGGAGGCAGCATGCACGTTATCAAAAGTTGTGAATACCCCTTTTTGCTTTAGAAAACTCATGATGGGCTTCAGTAAAGCTGTTGCAGGAACGAAGAACAACAACATTAATAAACCCTTACTTTTGACAAACCAAAAAATTAACAGCATAAGCTTCTCCAATCACAATCAAACATGTATGTAGCAGTCAACCAAATCATGTCAGACATTTTCTGCTGCTCCTAACAAGCATGTTCTTCTCAAGGACAGCAATGAGAAAATTAAGAAACTGATTCATGTTCATGCTCCCTCCTCATCTTCTTCTCACACGCGTGCTCGAAAAAGGTTTGGCTAAGTTTTGCAGAAGGCAATTTTGGTAGGTAAAAATTGAGGGAATTGATCACATGGAAGCATGTGAAATCCTCAGCTCAATTGATAGACTATTCTTATAACATTAAACTTTACGTTAATTAATTTAAAAGATAATCCTCCACTTTGTGGCGGAGAGTACATAAAGGACAAAAGGTTGTAATTTTGTTGACTAAAAACATAGTTAAGTTAAATTCAATTAAGATTTAGAACATTGAATTTATCTCCAATGGAAGGGGGCAGATGATGGATACCTTATCCAGATGAACATGGCAAGCTTTAAGGGAATTGGTCTGCTCTGGGGATATCTGTTTTTATAAATCATGCAGTTCTTGAAAACAGATGAAAAAGTGCTGAATCCCATATGCAGAACTGATGATTGATGATGCCTCTGCACAAAAACTGATAAATTTTTATTTATTTCAATTTTTACATTTAGCATCATAAATGCAAGAATTTTAATTATATTCAAAAGTTTCTGCCAGGGCCAGCCCATGGGAAATTGCAGAATTTCTGGGTTTTATTGTTACATGTGAAGTAAGGTTGTCAATTGAAAAAAAAAAAAAATTCCCTTACATATTCCCTTA